AGCAAATTTATATAATGTTTTGTACGGTCAAGTTGATATATGTACGTTCATGGAATATTTTATCTTCTAATTGCTTTCTTTCATATCTTCAATAATTTTTGGTATCGGGTGTTTGCAGGTTATAGGAGTGGTTGTTGCTGATACACATGAAAGTGCAAAGCTAGCCGCAAGAAAAGTTCATGTGGAGTATGAAGAGCTCCCTGCAGTTTTGTCCATAAAAGAGGCTATTGCTGCTAAAAGCTTTCATCCCCACACAGAGAAATGTTTTAGCAAAGGAGATGTCGATCTATGCTTTAGTTCTGGACAATGTGACAAAATCATAGAGGGTGAAGTTCAAATTGGTGGCCAAGAACACTTTTACTTGGAGCCGCAGAGCAGTTTGATTTGGACAATGGATGGGGGCAACGAAGTTCATATGATATCTTCCACTCAAGTAAGTTGTGGACTTAAGCAAGGCCTTATATGCACACATCTCACTATGTCCCTTTTATCTCTCCCCTGTCTCTATCCTGCTTGACTCCCAATGCCTTGTCATCCTAAATCACCACAAATTTGGTGCACATATCGCATAGTAGCCACAGATGCTAAAATGAAAACCAATTTTCTCTTAATAGAAAGATACACCACTAAAGGAATGTTATCAGCAACGTGGCTGCTGGGACTGATTGACACATGGCTGCTACAGTCAGTGACACAGTTATGCTGGAATAAAGATTATTTTATTATGTTTTATTTAATGATATAATTAGTTATTACAATGAATGTGAAGGTAGTTTCTAGGATGCAGATGTAGTTGTTTCTAATAAGGGGATGCATGTTTTCTTGTATAAAAACGGAATAGCTGTCTGAATAAAAGATATGAAGAAAATTTGTTTCTGAGTTTCTTAAATGCTTCGGCTAAGGGAGATGTTTGAGTTCTCTTCTAATGAGCCCGTATTGGTAGGCATAACCCATATAGAGATGGGCACAGATCGGTTTCGGAATGAGTTTTGAAAAACATAAACCCAACCGGATCGCCAAGTTTACTCTGTTTTTTGGCTCAACCAGGTTCTCGGTGATATTTGGTTCAACCCGATTTGGATTACATATATACATATGTGCACCAAATCTGAGAATATATTAAATAAGAATAAAAATTTCTAAACCTGACCCAAGTTTTAAAAAAGTTGATCCGACTTGATACAGCTCTTTAAGAAAAAGAAAAATCAAGACAGATCGCGGCGAGCTGGTGAGTTCACCGGGTCTTTGTTTTTCTGTTTTTTTGTCTTTTTCGTTCCTAAAACCATAATGAGATGCCAAGTAGCAACTATTGTTGAGTCGTGACTGATATTGAAAGAATTTACTGTTCATAGGTCCCAGTAAACAGAGGTAGAATATATGGCAATAATGGAGATAGGGAAAGAGGATCTATGGTTGAAAGGACTAGTTTCTACGGGATTATTCAGCAAACTTTTAAACTATATGGTGATCGTCGCAGTGCAATGTTTTTTGGCAGAGGATCAAGTTTATGATGCTGGTCCTGAGGCATGTACAAATGAGATTTCACAAGATTAGAGAATGGATAACTTTGGGTGATATTTCTTTGTTGAAAGTGAGTACTGAGAATAATCAAGCAGATATATTGACAAAGGTGCTACCTGTGGAGAAGTTTAAATGTTGTTTGGACTTGCCTCATGCTGTTTGCTGTTAAAAAATCTTGATGATAGGGACCTAAGGTAGGGGTTTGATCTTTGAGGGTCTGTGTTTGGTCAAAAGTATTAATGTTGACAATGGTATTTTCCAGCGTGGGATGCTTTTAATTATATAGGGGCATTCTTGTGA